TCAAGTAGTTTAAAAAATCCTATTTATTATCCTAATTTGACCCAACATCTCTTTTAAAGCTATGAATTATTTTTAATCATTTATTAGTCTGCTTTTTGCATAGCTTCTAGTCTTAAGGCACATGTTGTTACAACACTTAAAAAAATTAATGGCTTGTAAAAACCTACTGAGGAGAAAGTTTCTTCTGTTAAAAAAAACCTTATCTCCTGACAACTTTTTTAAAATAAGCTAAAACTCTGCTTTAGGTGTAATTGTCCACAAGTTTCAGTTTAACATTATACAGCAGTATGTCTTCAGAATAACAATATAACTTTGCAGCTTTTACCACTTCAGGACTGCAATCCATATATAAACAGAGCTGTCCTGAAGTGGTAATACTAAGATCAAAGCTTCTGCAGCAGCCAGGATCTTGGTACCATTCTTTTCAGCCGTCTGTTGGCCTTTACATACAAGTGATCAAGCGACTGTAGAGTTGGGAATGGCACAGTGGGTGTGTATGGCGTGGCTGGAGGAAGTTCAGCACAATTCCAGTGGCTGATCACCCCTCCACTGAATCCAAAAGCAACAATCATTTTGTTCTCCTAGTTTCAGGCTGTCATTTTTCCAGCTGCTGTTTCCAGAGAGAGAGTGCCCAGTTGTTCAGATATATCCACTGTCTGCTCCTGTTGCTAGCCATGTGATTCCATTTACCTGACCTTTGCTATGTTTACTGACTTTGATCCTTTGCTACTCACCCTGCCCTTAGTCTTAATTTTGACTAGGATTATTGGATTTCCCCTTTTGTACCACTTATTTGGAATCTGTGCATGATTCATCTGCTGTTGGGCACTACAAATCTAATTACTGACATAGCAACTGAGGTGCAGGGTTAGCCGAAGCATTAGTGGCATTGACTCAACAAATATCCGTGCTGACAGAATCTGCCCAAGACCTACAAGTTTCACAAGCAAATGTATAAGTTAATCAAGCCATATTGGACAAGCTGGCTAACAAACCTCCATCTGTTCCTTTGCCTGAGCCACCTGTGATGCATCCAGAGAGAGGTGCTGCTGCTCCTGAACCCAAAGCTGCATTACCTGATAAATACAATGGAGATTGCTCAGCTTATCATACATTTATTACCTCATGCCAGATACTTTTTACCCTACAACCTTGTACCTATGCAATAGATTTTGTTAGGATCTGGAATGTGATATCCTTACTGACTGGTGAACCTCAGGCCTGGGCACATCATTTATGACACATTCATAGCCCTATACTGAATTGCTGGACTTTTTTATACATGCCATGGATGTGCCAAATGAACATCCACATAAAGTAGCATCTGCCACAGCTTCACTTTGAGCGCTCAGACAAGGAAGAAGAAATGTTGAGGAATACAGAATACAGAATGTTGAGGTTACAGAATTTTGTCATCTAGCAGTAGAGTCCAACTGGAATGAACCAGCTCTTCTAGATCGGTTTTACTTTGGACTTTCTGAAGTAATTTATGATGAGTTGGCCAGAGTCAGTGTTCCTTCCACACTTGAAAGCATTGTCTCTCTCTGTATACAAATTGATCACAAATTATGGGAGAGAAGACAAGAAAGAGCCAATACTTACACTACTCTTCAGAGGAAAAATACATTCTTCCCCCCTTTCAGTTCTGCCATATCCTCCCATAGAT